TCCCTAGATTCGATGGTATCAGCTTAATGCATTAAGAGTTTGGATTTCTGGCCAACTCGACGAGTTCATTAGTGAACTCGACGAGTTGATGGGATATTTCCCGATCTATTCGGGTGATAGAGAAACTCGACGAGTTGGGTCAACTCAGGACGTTGACTTTGACCTTTGACCTTAATCTTTGACCAAATTTAACCTTTAAGGGGTTTTGGGTCATTTTGAGTTGTATTTAAGAAATTGTTTCTGTTTTAGGGTTGTATAGAGCGGATATTGGAGTCCCGACCTAGTCAGCTTCCGTGCAGAATTGAGGTGAGTCTTTTCACCACACTCATGGGTCGAAGGCACCAAGGCTGGCCCATTAATTGATATGAGATGTTTTGTTTTGGAATGTGTAATGGTTGCTATTTGATTTATGTATGGGTTTATGTAAAGACCATGAGGGGAGCCAATGTCACTTGGCAAGACCATGGGGGGAGCCCATGGCATGAGGGTATAAGACCATGGGGGGAGCCCATGACATTCCATTGAAGACCATGGAGGGAGTCCATGGCAAACTTGTTTGTTTATGTATGAGCATGACATTATGTGATTATATGATTTGTGTGATTGGGAAACTCACTAAGCTTGTGCTTATAGTTTTATTGAATGTTTCAGGTACTTCTATTGATAAGGGCAAGGGCCCGACTTGATGATGTGGCATGCATTCTCCAGTGTTTTCACATTTAGCTCTTTGTACTCTGAGTTCAAAAAATAGTATGGATATGTATTGGGATTTTGTACTTCCTATGGATGATGTTTATGAAAATAAAAAGTTTAAAAATTTTCTAAAAAGTTGGGCTGTTACAAGAATGCTTGATTCGGCTCTATTGTGAAGCTCTCGTTTGAGTCTAACTGTTGTAGTGCAGGATCTTTCGGTCGAAAGACTATTTATTTTATTGTTGCGTGTAATTGTATTTGTAAGACAGTTAGTTGACATCGGTATAAGTTTCTTCCGCGATTGATAGCAGGGTGGGGTGGGATTCCTAGTGAGTTAGGAGATGTGTTAGCACATGCTCGTGTAGACATGGGTGCTAGAATTGTCGACAAGAAGTGACTTTGTTACTTCGGGATGGACCTTGGAGCAGGCATGGAAGATAGTAGCAGAGCTCCTACTATCGAAAACACAAGATCCACGCCCGAGTTAAGAGAAGTCATGGGGGAATCCAAGGAGCTGAGTATAGTAATGTTTACATGGTTCTATGTTTATTGTTAAATTGGGTTAATCTTAAGCTTTCCCTATTCGATTGCGGAGAAATGGTGCTTCAGGATCTGCTATAGGACTGAGTTTCGATGAGATACTAAAGATGATTGCGTCAGGGATGTCGTATGCTATTAGGAAGGGTGATCGAGGATACTAGTGAGCGAGTAGATAGAGAATAGTGTAATAGTAACCTTGAATTTGTGGTGATGATTTTTGTTTATATTAAACAGAATGTCAATTACATGACTTGGAGCAGAGAGCTCTAAGATTGGCTCGGACAACACGGTCCTTCCGTGAGCCATTGAGATGATATCAAGACCGACGGGTTGTCGTGAGCCAAAGGAAGGGTACATGAGTGTATAATTGATACGTATTGAGTGCTTGTTTAGACTAGTTTAGTTTTATTGTATTTTAACTGATTTATGAGGCTACCATGGTGCATGGTTCGGTGCAAGATTTGAGTCCTTGGGCGCAAAGAGGAATAATGTAAGAGTGTGAGTTGGGCGTATCGTGGGGATATCGCTAGCTAATGTATAGGATATTCTTTGTTCATATAGTTGGAAGTGTTAATTGTCAGGAAGACAGCTCGAGTGCTGGAGTGGTATGGATGTGTGTATCAGAACTATTGTCTCTGTCGGGATGTTGAGGAAGTTTCGATCAATATATTGCTTCAATTGGGAGTAGTAAAGTTCCTTGTTAAGGGTTATGTCTACAAATGACAACGTTTACTCCTCTATTGGAGTTGATGGGAAAGGTGTTGGGTTAAGGTGTCTAAGCTCATAATTAAATTGGTATATACTTGAATTAAAAAGCAAAGTCCTTTTTAGGTTGCCCTCATAACTAGTAACTAAGTAGAATGACATTTGGAGAGAGATGATAATTTGTTAGTTTTATATATGAATAATAAATTAACTGGAAATTGAAATATTTCATTAATATATTATATGATTAATGTATTAATTGGAAATCGTAATAATTAATTAATTAATCAGAATTAATTTGGATTTAATTCTAGGTTAATTAGAATTAATCATGCGAAAGACTCTTTGGTTTCCAAGGGGGTTCCTTAAGCAACTATAAATAGGACACTTGGGGTACCTATTATCGTGCGCTTGATTTTTCAAGAGAATAACCGAATTTGATATCCCCTCTCCTCTCTCTTCTTGTCTTCTAGTTGTTAGGGTTTGGGTACAAGCCATTAGAGGTACTAAACTTTTGGTGATAGCTTTCTGAAGTGCAAAAGAAAGGAATAAAAAGTTTTATTTGCTATAATAAATCTTAAGGTATGTAAACCCTACTTTTTCAATTTTTTTGAATTTCATAGGGTTTCTCTAGGGTTTTTGATATTTATTGTATGTTGTTATCAATTACAGAAAACATAGATCATTGTAGGTTGCATGTGAACTTAAGTGTTAAGATTTTCTGCTTTACATGTTTTGATAACCTATAAAACCCTTCAAAAGGCACAGGAAGTGGCGTTTTGAATGAGAACGCCAAATACGAGAGAGTCTCAGTCGAGATTTGGGCTGTTGATCGAGACAGCCAAGATTATTTGACATGTTATGGTCGGGTCTGTGTTCCTACATCGAATGTAACAAAAATTTATCTACATGAGAGAGTTTGCAGCCAGGCATGTGGTGCCAGTTCTTATAGTCTTTGTTGAGGATATTCGATTCACGCATCAGTTTTGGAAAAGGTTCCAGGAGGAGATGGATGTTCAGTTACGATTTTCACATCGTTCTACCAACGAGCGGGCGGTTAGAGTAACACATGGTGCACACCTTGGGAGTAACTGGAACTGGTATCTTCCATTAGCAGAGTTTTCCCAGAATAACAACTTTCAGTCTTGTATTGGTATGTCGTCATCCGAACTACTGCGTGGTAAAAAGTATGGATGGAAAAAATCCTCATACTCTGTAGGGAACCCATAACTCACACCCGACGTGATCGGGGGAACCCTAAGTTGATCGAGAATATGGACGGGGATGGGGAATGGGATACCCCTAATCCCCGACCCTAGACCCGACCCCGGTGGGTTTTAATATATAAAAATAATATAAAACATATATTTATAGTGAAATTTACAATACCTATAATTTTATGCAAGTAACTCAACTCTTTAGTAATTATTTGGTTGAAATTATATTTGTTCTTATTTGTTTATCTAGTTTAACCTTTTATATATATATTTTTTCTCATTGATTTATCAATTTTTGTCTCAAATATCACTTTGATAATTTTTTTCGACTTGATTTTTAATGTATGTCTTTAATGTTGGGTAGAAGAATTGTTTATAGTTTTTATGCAATTTATGAATATTTTTATGTTTTGTAAAATCTTTAAACTTATGTTGGAAATTTAAATTTAGAGTTTTTCTTACATAAAAGTTTTTATTTTAAAATAAAAAAAAGATCCTCTATTCTCCGTTCGGGATCACCAGTCCCCGTTGGGGGTGTGTATGACGATACATTTATATTCCCAGATAGGATGGGAACGGAGATGAGAATTGGAATGAGGATTTAGGGATGAAGATGGAGATTGGGGTCTCCGGTATTCCCCGACCTTGTTGCCATCTCTATTCCTCCATTTTTAATTTGTTGGAATTGATACTTTAAAGACTATATATTGTAATTTTTTGGAGGCTTCTTTTTTGTGCTTCTTAATTACCAAAAAATTAAATCTCTTAAAATAATAAGTAGCAAATTTATATCGTTTTTTAGCACTCATTTTGTTGTTAAAATGATCAGTTTTTAACGTAACACATATACGTTTTCAACTAAGTATTCGAACCTGGTGTGTTCTTAACAAAATTTAGAATGTTCTTAACAACCTTATTACCTTTATATACATATTTATTTATCTTTCACAATTCTAAAAAGCTTTTGAGATATCAAAGTTGCAAAATACTCAATATTATGAAATACTTATGCAAGCCGGAAATGAAAATACGGGAGGTTAAGTTCTGAAGTAATCATATATTTATGGCCAAAAATATTTTCAATGTAAGTTGTGAGATAGCGTCCAAAAAAGATGTCGAATAAAAATTCTGAAATAGTCGATCGTTTAATAATATACGTTACAAAAAAGTAATCAATATCTACATAATATGAGTCTAATCTTGAATTCTTGATAGATTCGTGTGATTATTCATTACAGATTTACAAGGTGGTCCACAGCCGCTACCATTACGTCATAATAAAAGTCATGCTTACGATTTTGGGTTTGTAGACTCTTGTGACCGGTTTCTTCCAACTTTTTGTTCACAATTTCCCAATTTCCACTGCGGCTCTTGAATTTTCTTTTTGTTATGATTTTTTTTTTGAACGGCTTCTCTTGGGTTTTTTATGTGACCTTCCTTAGTAGATTTTTGTTTCTCTTCTCAAAGTCAAATTCAAGGACCCGGTACTTGTAATTTACTAAAATGCCAATTTGCTCCAAAAACTAGGAAAGAGTTGCCCCCGCTTTGCGGGGGTCAGTTGGTGTTATAATTTTTTTTTAATCATTATAACCATTTAATATCTACTATTACTGAATCATTAATTATAATAAGAAATTTTGTACATTTTCTTTTCGTTATCAATTGTTTAATATTCTTTGTGAAAATGTTTCTGTTAAACCATTTATCATTTAGCCTTCTTTTCTGGTGACAATTGATTCTGCACATATCAAATAATTACAATTTACAACATTACAATACTTTCTAAATCTAATAATATATAATCCAAATTGAGTTGTAGTCTTATACAACTACAACCATACATACATGTGCTAATCCATTCATTGGATTTTGCCTAAGTGATTAAGCAACCATTTGTTGCTAATGTTGTGGTAACTGTTGCATACCTGTGCTAATCCAGTCATTGGTTTATGTTAAAAAAAAATCTCACATTCTCTTTTGTCCCGGTTATAGTTTTCATTTTTAAACCATTTGACTACATTCCTTGCAATGAACTTGATAAATTATATACTTCCTTGGAAGCAATCAAAGCGTCAATAGCGTTTCTTTGACTCTTTGCCATAGTTGTTGCTGCTTCTTCTTTTGTAGCTCTTTAATCTTGCAATGCTTTGGCTTTGGCTTTCACTTATTCTTCTTCTCTCTTCTTTTCATCATTTTCTTGGTCTTCCATAACATAAAAGATGTTAGAAAAAAAGTTAACATTAATTCAACCAAAGAAGAAAAGATGTTGATTGAAACCCATAAAAGATGTTGAAATTACGATCGCAAACAATAAAACAGTTTAAAGAAATAAATAAATCAAAACTTGAAGGACACAACAAAGTTGTGCACTATGCTTTGGGTTAGACAAAAATAACTCCTATAATTTAAGACTGTGCGATAGATAAAAAAAATAATAACATTGAAGCTTACCCACAAATATAATCATATCTCAGTTCCTATCAACCCATTTCAAAAGATGTGGTGATGGTAGTATCATGGCATTTGACAAAGTATAATGTCCTAATAATACACAATAAATGAAAGTAACTAACTAACCTTTGATTTCTTCAGCAAATGATCTTGGAGCCTGCAAAAATTAAAATGCATAAATTTAAATGTCAATTCTCTAAAGTCTAAAGTAATCTACATGGTAAAAAATATTTATCATATAGTAATAAAAAACATAATTTAAAACTTACAACATTGGATTCTATAGTATTGTTTACTATTCCATTATCAAAAATTGAACCCCTTGGAGAAGAACCCTCTTCAGATCCTTCTCTTACTGGTGAAGGTGGTAGTGGTGGAGCATCATAATTAATTTTTAACTTGCATTCATCCACTTGATTTCCTGATTCTTTATTAAACTATTAAGATTTCTTTATATACAAATTTAATAGTTTGAAGTTTAAACACAATGTGATGATTAGATTAAGTAATTACCAGTTCTGGAGTGATATCTTTTAGTGCAGTTCCAAGACTTGCAAATGCACTTTGAAGCAAAAACTTATCCTTACATTGCATGCCTGGAGGAGCCTCCTTTTGAGCTTCCATTGTAACTAAATAATAAAGACTAATCTTTTATATTATCTTTATAAATGAGTTGCTAAAGTATAATATGAAATGTGTTTATTAATATTATAGAATGATAAGGAATAGGGACCTGAAGGGAGAAGGTGTTGAGTAGGATCATGCAAGAAGTTATAGCTTGAATATTCATTCAGCTCCTCATCCACATGCATTCCTTTAAACTTGTTACATGTGTTCTTCCCCAGCAAGCAAAATAAGAATCGTAAATTTAAAGGGAGAAGAACCGAACTCAAAATCAGAGTAGATGTTGGAAGCAACAAAGGGTGCCTAAGAAACAATGAAAGGGGTTTAGGAGTGTGTAATTTCTTTCTTGAAGATACATGGTGTTTTGCTAAACTAAAAATCCCAATATCCAAAATAAATTTAAAAATCACATTTTTTTTTTGTGTAGTTCTGGATAAAAACCAAATTTCATACCAATGTGTTAAGTGATATGATATGATTCTCAAGATAGAAAAAGTTTAGATTTTTACCTTGATGATTTCTACTGGTGAAGACAACACAACAGAGCCCCAGATCACGTAGTTTTCTTCTAATTAACATGCGGCGACGGCGTGTTCATTATATTCGATTGTTCACATCGAACCACATTTAGTACACTAAGCGTTATTGCGAATATATATATATATATATATATATATCCTTGCCAATCTTCTCTAACAGATGTTCATCACGTGCAACCTACACAACAATTAATGATTTTAGTAAATATCAATTTTATGAGGATTACACAAACATCTTCACATATATAGCTTTCAGGAGCTTAAGTCTAATGGTGAAGCCCCTACCATCATGGCTCAACTGTTGAATTGCAGATACATATTCATCATTAAGTTGTCCACCAAATGCTCTCACAATGGAGAAATCAGAAAATAACTAATCAAAAAGAGTTTTAAGTTCAGAAACAAACCTAAATGGTAGGAATAGGATATAGCACCTATCTAGCAAGAGTAAGGTAAGATTAACACAAAATCAAATGGAAAGTTCCATATTTCTAGACCTTTGAAAACCCAACTGAACCCATGGAACAAATGAAGATTATGAATGTTGCCCTAACTCTACAGAATGCACTCAAAGGTTACAGAATCAGAAACCCTAATCCCAGTTTTATATGCTACAACACAATTCGATTCTGTAGAACATGGCCATTGCGTAGAAGACTCTTGAGCTAGAAAGTAGAGATGACATCAGAAAATCAAATCAAAACCCGATCCAATATCCGATTCACGTGTGACGTGGCCTTAGATGTCCTGCCAAATCAGGGATGACTTACCAAATTAAAATTATAATAAAACTCCTAAGAAAATTGAGTAATACAATTAAAATAAAGTTATAGCACTATACATTTTTAAGTATAATGCTATAAAAAATATTTTTAATATATTTTATTTCTATAGCTTTGTTTTGATTTCTATCTCTGTAACTTATATAAATAAGAAAAGTCAATTTCTTGCGTATTACATTTTTACCAATATGATGATATTATTGAGCTGTCCCAAATTGACAACAATAAGATTAATATTTTGTCCCTTTTAGAAGAAATGAAAGTATGATGCTAAAAATTTCAAAGGAACAAAAGTACAATGCTATTTCAAGCTATGATGTATGTGATTGTTGTGCTGGAACATGCAACAGGGACCAAAAAACACACATCCTTCCTTTGACATAATATATTTTGGTCATTTAACATAATTTACAAATTTGAAAATTTTTAAAAACAAATCCAATATTGGGAATTTTAGTCATTTAACATAATTTGCATATCAATTTATTTGATATGGTTACAAACCAAATAGAATAAGAAAGGGAAATATATATATATATATATATATATATATATATATATATATATATAATAAGTTAGGAGGGTATGACGGTCATTTAAATAAAGGATGCAGGAAGAATGGAACACTAACAAAGTAAAATGCTATTTTATGCAATAATAGTAACATGAATGATTCTTGTAAATAAATAAATAAAAACAAAAGTAGGTCGGTGAACTTAAAAAATCCAGTAGAATATATCGGTCAATTAAAGAAATAATTTTAAAAGACCATATGGTCCTCTCAGTCAATTTTATTTCAAAAATAACACAGCAAAAAAAATGCTAACAATTATGAAATTTGGGTTTATTTTTAACAAATAAATAGAAAGAACATTGCTAAAAATTGGAACAGTAACAAAATAAAATGCTATTTGATTTAATTAAAACTAAAAGTTGGTAAATGCTACTAATAACATGTATATAACACATAAAGTTTTGTAACCAAATGGTCGTAAAGAAGAAATGAAACAGGAAAAGAAATATATAGAAAAACATGAAAGCAATGTAAAGTAAATAACTTAAGGCAGTAATAAAAACACTGAGGAAAAAGATGAAACAAAAATGAGGAAAAAGATCGAACCTATCCAATTTTTACAGTGTGATGGTTGACTGTTCACGGCCTATTTCCATGAAGTACATGATGATAGCAATCTACATAACAGAACAGATGTTTGTTAAAATATTTACAAGAATTGAAGAAAACAGTTATGTAAATATGAGAGATCATAATTTATGATGAAATCATTTCAAGAATCTTTTTTATGCTTCTGACATTAATAAATTACATAAAACTCTTGACAATTTGTTCTGTTGGAGCACCATTTACAAATCCTCCCAAGCTTCACCCATGTATTGCTTTCTTCTTTATTTAAGCTTTTTCTTCTATTCCACTCCTTCCAAGTGTAACTTAATATGAAATTGTGTAAGCATCCCCCTTAAATAGTTCTTGTGCCTACTAACATAAGTCATTACAATCACACACCATGCTAATAAGATGTTGGTAAGGCGATAAACCAAGAAGATGAAACACAGATACAATTACAGAAATACACATAGATTCGAAGTAAGAAACCACCTTGGTCTATCTCCATCGTTAGCTACTTCAATAGTTATGGCTTCCTTGCCAGAAATATATCTGCAATCTCAAAAAGTAAGCCAAAAACTTGACAAAATTAAAAAATCTACTAATAAATTTACCTAACATGAGATCCGAAGAAGATGATACGTGTAATTTGATGTCAGTACGCCCCAATTACTTCATAGTGAACGCCTTCTGTTACTCCCAAGAAGATGAAGACATTATCTACTTATTCGAAATATGGTGCTGAGAGAACAAACAAACACCATTTGAGTAATGTACATAAATAAACAATCTTAAGAGTAAAAGAGAAATGAATACCTTCAAAAGAGTGTTCCAATTCCATAGATGTTGAAGAAGTAACCACCTTCGGCTCCAAGCCCCTTTTCCTCTAGGTTTTCCTTGGGAAGTCGAAGCCAACGATCGATGTAGGTGAAACGCAGGAGGCGACGAATTCTAACCCGAGGTAATAATAGAAAACCAACGACCGGAGAATACCAGCAAGTAGGATGCGACGCAAGCTAAGGAAAGGAAGATAGGGTATATGGTGGGTTGAAACAAATCGTCAGGTGATAATAGATAGTTGAGAGTGGCGGTAAGCGGTAAGCGATGGTAGCGACCATCGTAGCAGCAAAGATATGCAAAGGAAGTTTCCAGTCGGTAGAGAGATGAGGTAGTGGATGAAGATCTATCTGGATGAAAATGGAAAAGCCGATGGAAATCGTGGAACGAAATCAAGGCGGTCACCCAGGTTGAGGATTATACCTGTATGAAAGGCGGTGGAAATGAGGTCGGCCGGGTGATGGTTAACTGAGAAAGGAGTAGGAGACCGTCCATCGATTAGGCGAGATAGATCAGAGATCGGAGATGGTTCGATGGGTTGGATGAAGAAGGAGCGGTGGTAGGCAAAACAGAGATGAATGAGACTGCAATGAAGCACACGGAAAAAGACGTGAGCAATATGTGATCGGAAGAAGGTAGAATAGTATGGTAGTGCAAAGCATCTAGAGAGAATGATTGAGATACGAAGAAAAAAGGGGCGGTAGTCAAAGGCGGTAGAGTCAAAGGCGGTGGAGAGGAAGTGATAAGGCAAAAGTCTGAAAACAGAAAACTTAGGTGGCGAAAATCAGAAGTGCAGAAACTTTCCTGTAGACAAGCCTCCCCACAATTAAGTATATATATAATTACTCCCACATCCTAGGTGTTGTTTTAATTATAAAAATATAAACTATTTGTTCTTTTATATATATATATATATATATATATATATATATATATATATCCAAATTCTAATAAAAAAATAGATTTATTCTCATAATGACAAGTGTCATACTATTAAAATTCCTCATTAATATTATATGTCCCATATTATGGCACTTGTCAAAATATTAATTATGCATTTCAAATTTCAATTTTCAATTTTTCCACTTTAGTTACATTAAATTAATAATTGATTCTCCATTTTAAATTTTAAAATTTAAAATTTCTCACTCTACTAATATTAAATTAATAACGTTAAATTAAAAAAATTAATACAAATTATAAGGTAATATAACTTCACGTATTTATTTAAGTCAACGATTATAATTTTATATAACTAAAAAAGTATCACTTAAGTAATAATTTATTTAAAATAACTGATTAATAGTTTTGATTTTTTAATATGAAAGTTTAATTAATTTTATAACTGTGGTTCTCACGGGTTATATACTATATATATATATATATATATATATATATATATATATATATATATATATAAGAATAGTTTCTATGTCACGTGTCATTTTTTCATAATTTTGATTATTCTTTCTCCTATTCTCTAAAAATGACATGTGTAATTTTCTATGATTTTACTTGCAAATTTAAATAAAATTCGTAATCCCTAATTAAGTGGTATTGATCGTAATCCCTCAAAATTAGGTCGTTTGACAGTTATCAGATTCTATTCAAATTCAAAACTTAAAACAATCCATAAATCCACCTTATTGCACTCCTTTAACATACGTTTGCAGAGTGCAAATCGCTTTGAATATGAAGGAAATAAAATACGAAAAGTTGTAAGAATATCTTCAAGAGTGTCGACATTTTAAGTACAATACTATTCATAAGAAAGTATCGGTGCTGGTTCATAACAGTTTGGCGATCTCAGAGTCTTTGGTGATCGTCGAGTCTCTGGTGATCGTTGAGTGCATTGACGATGCCTGGAAAGGGGTTCCGATTTTTCCTCGGGATCCTTATCTGAAGGTTGTTGCTCGATTTTGGGCGAAATTCATTGATGATAAGGTATCAATATCATTCTCTCCTATTCCTCATTGATTGCTACTGTTTTTTATGTGATTATGTCATTCTTAGTGCATGATTGATTATACATGATTTGATTTCATATGAGCATTTTTTAAAGGATAGATTGAGAAATTGTAACTAGCTTTCAAGTATAACGATTCTTTTGAAGCTACAATCATCTTCTTTCTTTTGGAGTGCCAAAACATGTACTCTGGTTACATATATCCAATATTTAATGTTAATCATAATGATGATGATTGATGATAGAACAATATTTTGGTCCATTTATTGATCCTATATTTATTTTTAGTTTTTCAGTGCATTCTTACACTATTCAAGGTTTTTGGCAACAATGGAGATGAGCAAATTGTTGCAGAAGCTTGTGAGTAACTTCAAATACTAGAAAATGAACTGAAAGTGAAAGGTACAAAGTTTTTTTGGAGGTGACCATATTAACCTGGTTGACATCCTTGTTGGTTTTATAGCCTATTGTGGAAAATGATTAATACAATAGTATTTCTTAAAAATAAACTACTAGTGTAATAACTACCCTATTATTAAACTAGTTAATTAGGGTCAAAATGTGATAAGGTTATAACCATACTGATTGACTAGTGTTTAACAGGACGACCTGTTGGCGTCGAAACTAATGTGACATTTGTCACGTAAAGACCGGTAGGTCCCACTGTAGCTAGCAACGAGGTGTGGGATTATCAATCCCGTATAGATCTATACACACAATGCCCGCTCTCCCTCCAGGAGACTCTGGTTACAAAACGCGACATAACAAGTATATTGCTATGCCGTGAAGTAGTGGTTCACATTTCTGGTTTATCTGGTTTAAGTAAAGATCAAAATATATCCTTTTCTTAACAAAGTAGTGTAAACCTGGTATACCTATCTACTAAAAATAGGTTTCTCGTTTGTTTCATAAATTATACCTATTATAATTTAGGTTCTATATGGTTAGCATGATTTCTCATGATTGTACCCATTTGCTCAACGTGATACAAATGTAATGATTTTGACTGAAGTAACCTTTTATATTCCTATATCTATAATATATATAATTAAGAAGGAAACGACCTTCGGACAAATAACTCCACCTTAAGCGCACATCCAAACAAGGAAAAGGGAATAAGGCAATTCATTAGTCCTAAGTCCTTTAAGTCTTATTTATATACTTATACATATATAAACATGATTTTGGACAAATATAAGTTTAAAGAGTTTATAAGACATTTAAAAGAGTTTAACAGTATTTAAACTGAGTTAAGCTTGTACTTTAAAAATGGGGTTTAATATTCATGAATATATTTAGCAAGTATAACTATGATTTAGCCGACTGTCGGACTAGTGATTCTACCTTATGCCCACAACCAAACAAGGAACGGGAGTCAAGGTATCAAGCGTAAGTCCTAAGTCCGTTAAAGCATACTTATACATAAATATATGAATGAATATGATTTTGATAATAAACAACAACCTAAAGTCTTTTAAATGA